GATGAGGACAATGTAGGTGGGGGAAGGTAAGGGCAGAGGGTGGGGTGGGAACCAGGTGGAAGGGAGCTATGGGGAGGGGGGAAGAAGAAACAATTATAATAATCTGAGAAATAAAGATTTATTAAATTTGAAAACAGAAGATACTAGATTGAGATAGAGAAATGACCCTGACAGCACTCAGAAAATCCAAATGGCTTGGATCTGAGAACTGAGCTTGAGCACTCAAATGTTTAGAACAGGGAGACAATAAAGGAAGTTGTAGTGATGCAGCTACAACAAGCCAAGTAACACTAAAGATTGCCAGAAACAACTATCTAGAAGCTAGTAGAGAAACATGAGAAAGTTCTCTCTCAGAGCCTCCAGAAGAACCAACCCTGCTAATACCATGATTTTGGACCTTTGGCATCCTGAGCTGTGAACGAATACATTTCTGTTGTTCTAAGCCCCCCAGTTTGTGATAGTTTGTTATGATAGCTCCAGGAGGCACTAAGTGTGTTCATTGCTACTGGACTGACTTTGCTCTGTGGCCCTTTCCGCAGTCACAGCTAGGACATATATGTATGTATATATGCATATATATGTATACACATAAACACACTTCTATGCATACATATACATATTTTAGAGATTATGCATTCATAACAATACCTTTAGTTTCAATATATCACCATAGGAGTCATTGTTGTCTGCCCCTATTTCATATTTGTATGTCCTTTCTTCCATAGTGGGTACCCTGTCTCCCAATACCATAAACACACTTTCTTCTTTACTCAAGTCTATGATACATTTAAAATAGTTTCAGAATCACTTTGCCCATACCACTATAGCACACAAATTTATTAAAAAGAGTTCAGGATTTGTTTGCAATTTCCTCCCCCTCCCATATATACCTCTAACCCTGCCAAGATTGAGCATATTTGTCAAATACTGTACACATAAAATACTTGGATTAGTTCATTCTTCCATTCTTTAGGGTTATATTATTCATTTGAAATACAATTAATTTCATTTGTCACTTTCCTTTCAGTTATAGAATTCTCTGCTTCCAATTCTTGATTTACTTTTGCTTAAATATGTATAATGTTATCATGCTTTCAAAAGTCAACCAAACAGAAAAAGTATACTCAGAGAAATATCATCTCTTCCCATATTCCATCTATCCCATTTTGCTCAACATACTCTTATAGATAGTCAGCTTCAATGTTTTCTGGTTTGTTTTTCCTGTTACTTTCTGTATCAGGAAAAGAAAGCATATCAGGGGAGGATTCTAGCAGAATAGAAGCACCAGGAATCTGTTTGTTTCCCTACCTTGACAATTGAATTGGCTGAATCTGTCTGATGTAACTATGTTGGAATTCTATAGAAAGCTTGCAACTTCCAGAGGAAAACTTGGATGGTAAATTATAGTTAATTTTGATCAATTTTGGCTCTTAGCAGCTGCCCATCCCCCATTCTCAATCCAGGGGTAGGTAGCTGTGCATATGTTCCCAGAGCAGCTTATACACAGTTTGTAGGAGCTAGGAGGGGTATAAAGGACCCTGTCTTCCAAATATTAGATACTAGAGGCCCAGTGCACAAAATTCGTGCACAGGGGAGAGGGGGAGATGGTGTCCCTCAGCCCAGCCTGCACCCTCTCCAATCTGGGACACCTCGAGGGATGTCCAACTGCCACCGGGTTGGGGCCAAAATGGGCAGTCGGACATCCCTCTCACAATCCAGGACTGCTGGCTCCCAACTGCTCGCCTACCTGCCTTTCCGATTGTCTCTAATCACTTCTGCCTGCCAGCCTGATCACCTCTAACCACTCCTCTGGCAGCCTGATTGATGCTAGACTGTTCCCCTTCCAGCTTGTTTGCCCCCAACTTTCCTCTTCTGCTGGCCTGGTCACCCCTAACTGCCCTCCCTGCAGGGTTGATTGCCTCCAACTGCCCTCCCCTGCTTGCCTGGTCCCACCCAAGCAGAAGCCCTGGTATCTGGAATTCATTTACCTTTTACAATTGAAACTTTGTAGCCTGGAGTGGAGCCAAGCCTTCTGCTTGCTCCGTGGTTGCTGCCATTTCTGTTTGAATTTGTTTATCTTCTATAATTGAAACTTTGTAACCTTGAGTGGAGGCTTCGGCCGGCAAGGGCAGGAGGAAAGCTTGGCTTCTTCCATTGCCTGGGAAACCCAAGCCTCCCTCCTGCTCTCTGTGGCTGTAGCCATCTTGGTTGGGTTTATTTGCATACTCCCTCTGATTGGCTGGTGGGTGTGGCTTGTGAATGTGGTTGGTAGAGTGTTGATGGTTAATTTGCATATTACTCTTTTATTAGGTAGGATCTGTGCTCTCATTACCAACTATTGTGTTTGAGTACAGAGGTGTAGATGAAAAGATGGACAACTATTATATTAAACTATATACCTCCTCCATAGTTTCAAGTCTGTTCCCCTCTGGTTGAAGTTTCTTCCAGGGGCTTTAAAGGGCTGATGGCCTTTGTTTCTCACCACCACTCTGTTTTTGGAATGAGGTGCTAAACAGTATCCCATTAAAAAATAGCTTCAGAGTCTGAATATGGCAACCAGCATGAAGAAAGGGAAGGAGAGAGGGTGAGAGGGTAAGGGAGTGATAGAGGAGTGTGTGGACATGTGTGGTGTTCATGTGTATGAGCTAGAGAAAGTTAGATCCTGCAGGTCTTGCAAGGGGCTGCCAAACTTGGCTATCTTACATGGTGGAACCCTACTGCCACTGCGGACACTCCGGGGGAGGGGGAGAGAGGGGTAATGCAGGCAGAGAGACCATGCCATCTTGAAAAACAGAGCTGTTTGAGACGAGGATCCTGGCCTCAGCACCACCCAGTCTGGTCTCAGATGCAAACCAGAACCCTGCAGCCACTGGGGACAGAAATCTGCGACCACAGCTGCAGACCCACAGACACCAAGAATCCAGAAATCCCAGTCACAGATTTTTGTGAATCACAGAGCCCATCCCCCTCCCTGCAGACTCATGGCAGTGCCATTGGAACTGCTAGACCCACCATTCACATGGGCCACAGCACAGTTACAGGAATTTGAGCCTGGGTGAGTGTGGACACTGGGAATCTGTTCCCGTTCCCAGCAATGCAATTGGGTGACCAAACTTCATGCCCACGCAGGGCAGAAGTGCCACCTGACTTCAATTCTGGGCAAGCACATATGGAAGTCTGTTTTCCGCAGTCCAGGAGTGGACTTCCTGCTGACACAGTGCTACTATGCAATCAGACCCTGAAACTGACCGGGATCCTGATTCTGTGGACAGGTGAGAGGCAACACTGAGCATCAGTGACTTGACTCTGTTTCTCATCTCATGTGCTTAGGAACCCTGAATCCCAGTGAATTGACACTAAGATCCAGTGACTCCAAATATTGGCACATGAACACACAGGGACCCTGATTCTTGGCACAAGGATGCACCAAGCAACAGATACTCTGATACTTCATTCTTGGTGTGGGCATAGGGGAATTCTGAATCCTGGAACATTCTAAAAAACTGTTTTTTAGCACATGCCAGTGGGATCTCTGTTTCAGTGTGATTCAGTGAGGTCCTGATTCTAGGTTTGAGTAGGAGCCCACACCAAGCACCAGAGACTCTGATCATGGGAGACCTTGGCTCTCACCAACCCATGGCAGCCACATGTCTTGGTGTTGGAGCTCTTCAGTGACACTTGGGTGGTGTGAAGCTCCCATTTCACACACCCCAGGCCCACTCAACTCTGACATTTGAACCTTCTGGTGATAGAATTGGGAGAAGACACAATCCCCAGAGGAAAGAAAATGAGGAGTCACCAAGAAAGAAAGTTAGTGAAATAGAAGCATGCAACACAACAGAAAAATAATTCAGAGTCATGATCATACAGTGCATACACCGGATGGATGAGGAAATCAAGAACCTATGCAAAAATCAGGAAGAGAGAGAAACCAAGATGGCGGCATATAAATGTCTTGTACTACCTCTTCAAAACTACAACTAAAAGACAAAAAGGACATCATCCAGAACCACAGGAAGGCTAAGTGGAAATTCTAAAACTACCCTGTTTCCCCTAAAATAAGACAGTGTCTTATATTAATTTTTCTCCCAAAGTTGCGATAGGTCTTATTTTCAGGGAATGTCTTATCTTTTCATTCGCTAGGTCTTATTTTTGGGGAAACATGGTCAAAAGAAAAAGCACACTGAGACTCAGAGAAGCTGCAGGAGTAAAGTGGAGAGGTACAGAGGCATACATGCGTGGAAAGGGCTGACAACTGAATATGCAGCTGGCTTTTTCAATCTGCATGTAGACACAAGCTCCCAACTGCTCTGAACTCCAGTTCTTGGAAAGACTCTGGGGACCCAGACTCATATGGGTAGAAACTGGATTGTATGGCAGCAGGTGGAACACTAGGGCAGCTTTCTCTCAGAAGTGCTTACAGCAATTACCAAGAGACACTGAGACCCGGGGGCCTCTTAGGGCAAGGCTTATGCAAAGCCATTGCTGTTTGCCATGCCCTGAGACCCACTCAATCCAAGCTGTGCACAGAGGATTTTGCATATGAATGGTCTGGTCCTTTGAAATCTAAACTTACCTAACAAACTGTAGCTGAGTCAGAGAGACCCAGAACATCCAAAAGAAGGCCCAAGGCCCACAGCATCTTGCATTGCTTCACATCTGGGCCTCATCAGGGCACCTCCAAAACCCAAAGAAAGAAGAGGAATCTGCAGATCTCTCCATAGCTTGTGCTGGGTGGCCTCAGGCAGAGGCTAAATTAGCACCTCCTTGAAGATGCAAGAGCCAGTGTACCTAGTGGCCAGAGTGGGACCATCTAGATTACAACTATTCAGACCTTTAACCTGTTAACCGAGCGGGATGTATAAATACGTCAAACGTAAACAATATCGGCTACGGGTAGGACATATGAATACATCCTTAAAATATATGTTGCGCTCTGAAACATGCTGGATATATATTTCCGAACAACAAAGGTATTAGTCTTTGATACATGTCTCGACATGAATTTAAGACACGGAGGGAATCAGTATAATTTCGCTAGTGAGAGTGGTTGACGGGTTCAACAAGAATTGTTTTGGATTAACACATGACTTACTGAATAAAGGGTATAGGATTTACTTAGATAATTTCTATACATCAATTCATTTGGCTGAACTCTTGTGTCAAAACAATACAGACATTGTTGGAACAGTGAGGATAAACAGAGTCAGAATCCCCAGTGAAATAAAAACAAAAAAATTACAGAAAAATGAACATATAGTAAGATTCAAAGACAAACTTGTGGTTTTAAAATGGAAGGATAAAAAAGACGTATTGATGCTCAGTTCTATTCATACTGACGAAAAGACAATGATTGAAAAGAGAGGAAGAAGGCAAGAAAAACTGAATGTTGTCCTGAATTATAACAAGAATATGGGTGGCGTAGATTTGGGAGATGGAGTTATGGTGGCCTACACAGCTGCCCGTATAGGGTAAAAAAAATTTATAAAATTTTTTTTCTACGATTAATTGATATGTGCTGCTTCAATGCATATATTATATACAAAAAAGATAAAGGTCTTTTGGATCGATTACACTTTTTGATAGAGTGTGTAGAGAAATCAGTAGATAACAACATAGTGAAAAGCCGCCCAAAGACATCAACAAGCAGCTCTACATCTAAACCATCACGCTTAGTTGAAAGACATTTTCCAGAACAAATGAAAAGCGATTTAGGAAAAACTAAATCCAGGAAATGCCGAGTTTGCTACAAAAAAGGTATTATGAAAGAATCTACATACTGGTGTCTGGATTGTGAGGTAGCACTATGTGTCAACAATTGCTTTAAAATATATCACATGGAGGTTGAGTTTTGAATTTTTACATCTATATTTCAATTTTTTAAACTCAATATTTCTATTTTATTTGTGTTCTTTTGTTTATTGTTCTGCAATTGTTAACTTTTTTATTTTTTATTGTGTATCAAAATAAAAAAATATATTTTTGTTATCTTTATAATTGTTTGTAAAATTTATAATTTTTTAATTCGATGTTTCCATTTTTTTGTTGGTATTCTTTTCTTTTTTTTAAAATATATTTTATTGAATTTTTACAGAGAGGAAGAGAGAGAGAGAGAGAGCTAGAAACGTCGATGAGAAACATCGACCAGCTGCCTCTTGCACACCCACTACCGGGGATGTGCCCGCAACCAATGTACATGCCTTTGACCGGAATCGAACCTGGGACCTTTCAGTCCGCAGACCGATGCTCTACTACTGAGCCAAACCGGCTTCGGCTTGGTATTCTTTTCTATTTGTTTGTAATTTTGTATTCTCCTTTGTGCTTTATATATAAACAAATGGAAAAATATATATTTCATAGTCTTTTCATTTATTTTAAGTATAAATAAATAAAATAATAATATGAATTTACGTCCACCGGGCGTGACGTACTGACATGTCCTAGTGAAAGAGCATGTGCTCGTTGTAAGTTGAATAATTGAAAAGGGAACTCCCCGGTTAACAGGATAAGGGACACACTCAGGGAACAGACTCAGTGAGCACCAAAGCTCCACTGAAACAAGTCTTGCCCCATAAGAGTGTCTCCAGCACAGAAGTTCTACCATTGTAGACACAGTTGATCCCCACAGCCAATTGGCCTGGAAGTCAATTCCTCTCAATGATACCAACAGCAATCAAGACTTAACTACAACAAGACTGCACACACAGCCCACAAAGGGGCACACCAAGAGTGTCCAGTGGCTCAGCCTCTCAAGTTACTCTTAGGTAAGACCACTAGCACACAAAGCCACTCTATCAACTCAGGGAAGTAGCCAAAAATGTGGAGACAAAAGAAGCAGGTCACAAATGAAAGAAATGGAGGAAAACAAGCTACTGGATATAGAGTTCAAAACCATGGTTATAAGGTTTTTCAAGAATTTTTCTAGAAAAGGCCAATAAATTCAGTGAAACCATCAAGAATATGAAAAAGGACCAACTAGAAATTAAGCATACACTGACTGAAATAAAAAAAAAAATTTACAAAGATCCAACAGCAGACTAGAGGATTGCAAGAATCAAGTCAAAGATTTGAAATACCAAAACAAAAAAGCAAAAAACACCCAACTGGGAAAGCAAAAAGTAAAAAGAATTAAAAAATACAAAGATAGTGTAAGGAGTCTCTGGGACAACTTCAAGCGAACCAACAACATCAGAATTATGGGAATGCCAAAAGAAGAGAGAGAGCAAGATACTGAAAGTCTGTTTGAAGAAATAATGACTGAAAACTTCCCCTGCCTGATGAAATAAGTAAATAAATAAATAAATAAATAAATAAATAAATAAATAAAAGACTTACAAGTTCAGGACACGCACAGAACCCCTAACAAAAGGAATCCAAAGAGGACCACACCAAAATGCATCAGAATTAAAATGCTAAGAGCCAAAAACAAAGAGAGAATCTTAAAAGCAGCAAGAAAAAAAGTTAGTTGCCTACAAGGAGCACCCATATGATAATCAGCTGATTTCTCAACAGGAACTATGCAGGCCAGAAGGGAGTGGCAAGAAATATTTAAAGTGATTGCTGAAACCTGTTTGGCTCAGTGGATAGAGTGTCAGCCTGTGGACTGAAAGGTCCCAGGTTCAATTCCGGTCAAGGGCATATACCTTGGTTGTAGGCACATCCCCAGTAGCGGGTGTTCAACAGGCAGCTGATCAATGATTCGCTCTCATTGATGTTTCTAATTCTCTATCCTTCTCTCTTCCTCTCTGTAAAAAAATCAATAAAATATACTTTTTTAAAAATCAATCTTTATTGTTCATATTATTACAAAGGTTCCTCATTTCTTCCCCCCTCCACTAGGTTCCCACCCCACCCTTTGCCTCCTTCCTCTCCCCCATTGTCCTCATCCATAGGTGCAGTTTATGTTCAGTCTCTTCCTCCCTCCCTTTCCCTGATAGTAAATCCCTTTTCAGATAGTAAATCAGTTACTTAGCATTTTCTCATATCAATAATACCTCCACATGCCCAAAGATACACTTCACACAAAAGAAATTTTCAAATAGGTCAACCAACCTCATCCAGACCCCACACAAGGCACTCACAGATCAACACCCCAGCACTATACTAACTCAACACAGTAGATGTTTGGGACCCATGTCATGGTACCATGATGCTCACTACCAGAGCATGGTGGTAGTTCCATGTGGGTTATGGATGAAAGCCATCCTGAAAGAGGTCTGGGGTTCTGTCTGAGGCCTGTCTGGATGTTGGTGTGGTAATTCCTGGCCTCTGTTGCTCCCCTCTACAAGATGGCATGAGTTCTGTGCTAAGCCCAGATAGCCTGGAGAGTTTGCAGTGGTAGCAGGAGCTCCCCATCTAAGAGAGCCTGATCTGCCAATCCCTGGGAGTCCTTATATATCTGTCCCTCACTCACCCACACACATCCACACATGTCCCTCTCATTTCTTTACTCTGCCACATTCTCTTCTTCCTTGCTGTCAGCCACCATGTTGGATCTCATTATAGTCTTTCAACCACAGAATTGTCTGCCCACAGGTCATTTAAAAAGACACAATTATTTCCTGCATATTTTCCAGGAACTCATGGTGAATTACTTAAAATATATAAAATGAATCCTGATTTTGGTTGCTGAAACTTTGAAAAAGGGTTAGCTATGGAGATGTGTTGGTCAAATTATTTCATTATGAATAGATGGGCTCAAATGTAACAAGTCCAGTCAATCCAGTCCATTCTTCAATATTTTCAGAGAATGGAGAAAAGGGACTTGAGGGAAACATCTTTGTAGCTCACATCTAACTAATTTAGCAATTTGTATAGAGAGAAGGATAAAAGTTGAATAGTAGACTAACTCACTAAAAATAGTTATGATCATAAACATCCTTATCCAATGCACAATAAAGTAGCCTGATATTATTTAATATAAAACAATGGATATTTTCATATATTATAAAGAACAGAAAACATGTAAGGCTTATAATCTAAACCGAACCAATATATATACTAGAGGCCCGGTGCATGAAATTTGTGTGTGTCCCTCAGCCAGGCCTGGACCCTCTCCAATCTGGGACCCCTTGAGGGATATCCTACTGAGATCAGGCCTAAATGGGCAGCCGGACATCCCTCTCACAATGCAGAATTGCTGATTCCCAACTGCTCACCTACCTTCCTTCCTGATTGCCCCTAATCACTTCTGCCAGCCTGATCACTCCCTAACCACTCTTCTGGCAGCCTGATTGATGCCTAACTGCTCCCCTCCTAAACTGATTGCTCCTAACTGCTCTCCCCTGCAGGCCTGATCTTTCCCAACTGCCCTCCTTTGCTGGCCATCTTGTGGCAGCCATCTTGTGTCCACATGGGGGCAGCCATCTTGTGTGTTAGTGATGGTCAATTTGCATATTACTATTTTATTATATAGGATAATCTTTCATTTAAAATATTTTTATTTCAGAGAAAAAAGAGGAGAGAGAGATAGAAACATCAATTATGAGAGAGAATCATTGATTGTCTGCCTCCTGCTTTGGGGATTGAGCTCATAACCCAGGCATGTGCCCTTTATTGGAATTGAACCTGGGATCCTTCAGTAGTAGGTGTCTTATAGTGCCTAGTTGCCCAGCCTCCCCAATAACCTGAGGTGAACACTCTAAGTGCAATCCTTTATGGGCTGTGAGCACAGTCTTGTAGTTGAGCCTTGATTTCTGTTGGTGTCACTGGGAGGAACTTACCTCTATGCCAATTGGCTGTGGGGACCAGCTACAACTACTAGTAGTGAGAGAGCTACTGTGCAGGAGACACCCTTATGGAACAAGACTTGCTTCAGTGGGGCTTTGGTGTTCACTGAGTCTGCCCCTTGATTGTGTTGCTTATGGTAAAAGACCTGTGCTGCAATCAAGTCTCAATTACAACAAGTCTGTGCACATAGCCCACAAAGGGGTGTACCTAGAGTGTTCACCTCAGGGGATTGGCGAGGTGGAGCCACTAGGCCCTATAGGACACTTATTATACAAGGTCATTCTATCAACTCAAGGAGACTTAGCAGCTAC